TCCGGAGACGAGGTCAAAGCTGCCGCCCTTGCAGTTTCCGCTCGCGCTGGCGAAGATGCCGATGCCGAAATGTCTGCCTGGGTTGCGGCTGCAGTCGATGACTGGGGGGTCCTCGTCTTGCCTCTGCCTTTTCCTCCCTTGTCTCCTCCACCTCTTCCTCCTTTCGTCTTCCCTTTGGCTTTCTCTTCCTCCTTTCGGGCTTTGTCTCGCCAGGCGCGGTGGGCCTCCCAGTGCTTCTCCCGGTGCGGGTCTTTTCCTCCGCCTGGGGCAGTGCATTCTGAAGTGTTGTGGCCTTTGACGCCGCAGATGCAGCACCTCCCCTCGTCGGCGCGAATGCCCGCGTGCTGTTAGTAGCACGAAATCCCACGGAGGCATGAGCCTTTCTCCCAGTCCTGGCATGTAGCTGCCCACCTAGAAGTCGTAGTAGAAAACGTCTTCTCACTGCTGTCGGCGTTCCGCGGCGCCCTCGACGGCTGCGTTCCGGAGAAAGCGCCACCTTTCGAAGCCTCTCCCTTTGCCGCCGCAGCCCGCTTTGCCTCCTGGTCCTTCTGCTGAGCCTGCGTCTTCTTCTGCTGGTCAATCAGGGGTAGACCGGGGTTGCCACTCTTCGTCCCTAGGAGGGCCAGGAACGACAGCTCGTCTCCTGCGAAAGCCGCCACCTGCCGCATGGGCGCAAAAGTAACCACTTGTGGTAGATCGAGAGCATTCTCCAAACACATCCAACGGAGTCGTAGGTAATCGTCAGCTCCGGCCAAGACGTTCGAGAAGATTGACCTCAACGCAGTAAACAAAACTGTGACATCCGGAAAGGACATCGAAAGCTGGTTGCACCTCCTGGCGGCAGCCCAGAAACGCTGGAGCTCGGCCAGGGCCGACTCGGGCTTGGAGCAGGGAATCGGGTTGGTCAGCTGCTTCGAAACCGCGGATTTTTCGTCCGCCGACCCAGGCCAGCACGTCTTCAGGACCAGGTAGAGGATGTCCTGGGTCTCGTCGCAGATTCCCTGGACGCCCCTCTGGGTCAGCTGCTTCTTCAGTAGCTGTGGTAAGCACGCGATCAACTTAGGTTTTTTACAAGTCTCCAGCTGTCGCCACTTCGGCTGGTTGCGCGCCTTCACTGCAATCCCCTCGCGAGTCATGATGGACGTCTTCATGTAGATGGAGCGCGTGGCCTCGGCCGTCTCCCAGCACCATGTCCACCGGGCCACAGCGGCCGGACCTGCCGCTTCGAGCGCTTGGCGCACGGCGCACCTCCACTTCCGAAGATGCCCTGGCCTTTCTGCCAAGCTTCCCATCTCAATGTTGGGGAACTCCCCAACGCAGCTCTGAATCGCCTTGAGGATCATGCTGAGCTCCGCCGTGGACAGCGCATCCGACGGCACCATCGCTGCACGCGACAGTCCCGGAGAGCTCGCCCCGGCCCCGCCTGCGAGGCCAACTCCTTCATGGGCCAATGAAGGTGGGCTCGTCCCGAAGTGCGGCGGCGCGTCGTGAAGTTGGCCACCCCCGCGAACGCCTCCGTACTGGGACCCTTCAAACATTCCAAAAACGTCATCGAAACTCCGCGCGACTTCACCCCCTGGCCCGGCGTGGCCCGCCCAAGACTGCACAGCCAACTGCCCGGAGAAAGTCGCCGCGCTGGTGGTGCCCAGGTGCCCCAAAGATAATGCGTCTTTACCAGAAGCTGCGCTGCCATTCTCGCCCTGTCCGTCCACGAACCCCGTGCCAATGGCTGGGTGGAGATGGGAATGAAGATGCGCAAGCCCTGGCGGTAGTTGCTGGTTGAGGTTGCCGACCTCCCCAGAGCCTTGCTGCAGGTTGGCTCGGAGATGTCGCTCAGCTGTACTTGGTCCAGTTGGCTGAAGCACAGCGTCGGGCACGAGATTCGTCACCCTCGCGCCGGGCACCCGTGGGTTGACCTCCAAGCTACTCCTCAGATCTGGCCTTAGGTCGGTAGGAGTCCTCGGAAAGTCTGGTAACGCATGCGCTCCGTATGCCGCCGGATTCCCACTGGGAACCCTGAGGCCCAGGGCATCGTAACGCCCAGTCGGTGTATCCAGATTGATTCCAGGCCCACCGGCTGGAGCTTCGAGCCACTAGTCCTCCGCGTCCACCTCCCTCTCCCCACGCGGCGTGTGCCCTTGAGGAAGAGAGAAATTCGTAGCTCCATCACCTCCCACACCAGGCAATTGTTCTGGAAAGCGCCAGAGGCCCTGTACGAGAGTCCAAAACTGGAGCTCCTTCAAGATCTTGCCCTTGTACATGTGCATCGTCGTACTGCTGCTGGTATTATCCATTCCATTTGTGTATCTCCGCCTCCGTGGTGTCCATCCTGCTCGTAAGCCGCGTCATATCTCCCATGATCACCTGCTGGTTGTCGCCCAAGCGCGTCAACGCGAACTCGAACTTGTCCAGTCGGTTCAAGACGAGCTGGAGAACAGAGTCCGTCGAGGTAAACGTGCTGGCACCCTGCTGGCGAGCTAGGTCGCTCGAGCTGCCGGCCGGCGGCTCCGGCACTCTCGAAACGACCTCCGTGGACGCATCTGGCAGAGGCACTCGCGCAAGCTCGCCCGGGTTGCCGGCCGACGGCTCAGGCACTCCCGAAGCGGCTGCCGAGGCGCCGGCATGGTCCTCGGCCTGCTCCTCCGCGGAGTTGAAGGACACGTCTGCGGAAGATGGCAAGTCCTTCTTGTCGCTGGGTTGCTTCGCCGAAGATGCTGCTTGTTTGCGGTAGTAGGAGCTGCCCAGGAAGCCGACGCAATCCCCGCTTCGGAGATGTAGGACGTGCCCTCTGTTCTCGGTGTGGCACGCAAGGCAGTGCCCCTCCCTTCGGCTGAACTCTGCCGTCAACGCCAGCGGCGCCTTCGGGAGGGCCCCCGCGGACAAGCTGCGTTGTGGTGGTCGACGTGGTGTGTCCTTTATCGCCTTGAGGGGTTCTGGCACGCCGCTGGAAGCCGCAGCGTGGGCTGCAGCCACTGCTCATCGTGCCAGTCCCACTGCAGAAGTAAGAACTGTCGCCGTTGCTCCACCCAGTGTAGCCCCAACCGTAGCCGAGACCCCCAGAGCAGTCGTCACACGGGATTTCCACACCATCTGTTGTTCCTCGTAGGTACGCCTCCATTCCTCCCTCTTCCTCATGTCCTCACGGTGGGCGTATTCAGAAATAACGCAAACCATGCACGTATAACAAAACGGAAGAGACTGAAAGTATTCCACTCCAATGCATCCAGGGTGTCCATAGCGCCCACACTGTGAACACGTAGGAGGATCGATCACCATGTTGAAGCAGAGAGGGCATTGACATTCAAGTCCCAATAGTAGTCCCATGTTCGGCTGACGACTTGGGCTCATAACCCTTGTGAGGCTTGTTTCGCTTGTCTGCACTTGCTGCCCGACGGGGTGGCGCAGTGGGTGCCCATGGGGTACTATCGAAGACTCTGCTGGAGAATATGCCATCTGACGCAAGATGTGACAGTGACGGGTTTTCCAGTGCACGCGCGCACAAGTATCGATCTTGAGCCAAAGCAGTGTCAAACAGTTCTGTCTAACACACTTGCTCTCTGCTACCCCGCCTGCCATGCTACATGCTATCTACACATGCTGGCGCCCGGCGGGGATCGGCGTCAAAACTGTTAAACGCTCTTGGGGGCCCACCTTGGGCCCCCGCTCCGGCACGAAATTGTCACGAAACCTCCCCTGAACTATTCGCCAAACGGAGGCGGCCCAGAAGAAACTCAAGTAAATGCTTCGCGCTAGGACGGGCCCCGGGTGCCGGTCGACGACTCAGGCACACCTGAGCCCATCCTGCTAAGACCACGGGTGCCGGTCAACGACTCAGGCACACCGAGGACTCTGTGGATGAGAAACACGCTATCCCACTTCGTGGGATTGTTACTTCTGTACTGTAGTCCAGAACTGTCTGACCTATTCTAAAAGTCTTTAGCATAGGTCAAGTCAAAACGGGCATGCTCTATTTGCACACTGCTACGCTGTGATCACTACATCTCTCTCTGCCCAAAGGTCTGACACTCATGCTACGTTCAGTGGTACACAGAAACTGGGCGCGCCGAAACAACAAAACGAACGACTCGCTGAATTAGCTGGCCTTCCGCTGGCACAATTGAGACGCCGAGGGAAACATAAGGCCATATACCTGTGCACAAACGTGCAACACCCAATTAGTTACCAACAAAAGCAATGCTACCGTCTTGGCTCCCAAAGTGCATATGACTTCGTCTTCGTCTCGAAGTGCTCCGCTGCTGAGTGGGCTGCCACAAGACATGGTTCTCGAGTGCTGCCAAAGGTGTCCCTGGCCTAAGCTGTCTCGCACGACTCCGCGAGCAGAGCAGCTCGCAGCGCCGAGCAGCTGGTCAGGTCACCGCTGCTGCCCTCGCCACCGCCGCCGTCATCGCCGCCGCCGCGATCGCCGCTGGCGGCGACAGGCCGGTCCACCGCTGGCGCGGCTCGGGGCCAGCGCGCGGCGGGACACGCGTGAAAGTGGGCCGCCTGGCCTGCAGCAGCTCTGCGCTGCCGGCGGGCGGCAGCGCGCCCAGGGCGGCACGCGCGGCGGCGAGGGCGCCCTGCGGTCCGTCGCGCCCTTCTCTCGCTCCTCGCACCTCCGGTCCCGGACTCGCTCGCGTCGAGAAGAAACACGACGGAAAATGTTTGGCCGTTTTCTGCCTCTGGGTGCCCTGGCTGGGCCCCGGGGACCGTTAGTGAAACGACTCGGGATGGTAAAGCATGCTCTGAGAAAAGGGTCGGGACTTCGAGGGAGGCCGCGTTGACAAAAACAAGACATGGGATGTCTGGGTCCAGGTCACCTAACTCCGCGCACCCGTGCCAACGCGATACGCGGCGCGCGGTCATCTCCACGCCCTCGCGCCCCCGCGCGGCCGTCTTGGAGGAGGGCAGCTGCTCCAGCTCAGGCCGCGACGCGCGAAGTGCGATTGTCTTCGCGCTCCCGTCGGTCGCCTGGCCTCCTGCCCCTTCTGAGGATGAGAAGGTGGCAAAGCCTCTCACGGAGGAATCGTTTGTGCCCTGAGCCGCGTGGCGAACGGTACTGGACGGCACCCGCGCCAGTGCCACTGCTCTGGGGCCCCAGCCGAAGTCGCCCCCCGGCGTGGGCCCCGCTGCCACACTCGACCTACCAGAGTGGGCCGAGCGAGTCAGGCAGGAAGGCATTAACCAGGTGAGCTGGCGCCCGCGGGCGGACGCGCGGGATCGGCCGATCGAGCGCGGGAGAATCCGCCTTCCGCCCAGGAGGGCTACCTCTCGGCCCACACCCTGCTGGTGGCGTCGTGCGACGCGGAGACGAGCACCCGGCGTCTGCCGGTGTTAGTGTGCTCCACGCCCCAAGCGACATCGACCGCGCCCTCCTCGTGGCCCTCCAGCTTCGCCACCCGCGCCGCGTGTGCGCGCTGGCCGACGTCGTACACCAGGACGTTGCCAGTCCCACAAGCGGCCGCAAGCCTGGTGCCGGTGCCGTCGATGGCCACCTGCCTCACCTCGCCGCTACTGCCGTCCGAGTCGGCGTCGATGGCGTGCAGCCTCTGCCAGGTCCTGACGTCGTAGAGGGCGATCATCCCGTCGCCCCCTCCCGTGGCGAGCAGCCACTTGCTCTCCGAGAAGGCCAGCCCAGTGATATGCTTCGAATGGAACGGCAACTTCCTGACCAAACTCTGATCGCGCATGTCGTGGATCCGCGCGAAGGTGTCGATGGAGCCGGTGGCTACGCAGTACTCCATGGAAATCCCAAGGAAAGATACGCACTGAACTTCTTTGCCGTGGCCCTGCAGCAGTCTGAGCGGGGTGCCATCGAGGTTGGCCATGTCCCATATCCTGGCCGTTCGGTCGTCCGAGCCGCTGCAAAGCAGCCGCTGAGACGGATGGAAGGCAACGCTGTTCACGGCCTTGGCGTGCCCTTCAAGCTCTAGAATCCTCTCCTCCCGCAAATAGTTCCACACGTGCACGGACCCCTGAAGGCACCCACAGGCGAGGAGGTCCATACCGGGGATATCGCAAATGGCCACTGAGCGAAGTGGGCTCATCTTCGGCATCGGCTTCTGCGGCTTCTCCAGTACCAGCCCCGCGAGCGGTTTGCCAGGCGCCAGGACGCTCGAATCGAACAACGAGGAAGCCCTCGAGTTCGTTCGAGGCCGTCGAGGCGAAGTGGCGCGGGGGATGGCCGCTTGGGCGCTCGTCTGATTCGCCCATCGACACTTGGCCTCGCCAAAAATCTTCACCACCTTGTCCTGCTGCAAATTATTCGCCGGCCTAACGGGCCAAAGGCGTGCTAAGATCTCCGGCAACTGGTTCACAATTCTTCTAGTTCGGGCGCGCGGGGCGGCCCCTGGGGGTTCCCCCGGCGAAAAATACCCCGACCGCAGCCCGGGAAGGTCCCGGGAAGGTCTACTCAGAGATGGTCTTCCTCCTGGGTACGGCCTCTCAGGCCCCCCAGAGCGCGCCAATAGGGCCCCAAGAGTCCCCCAAGACTGCCCAAGAGGCCTCCGAGACGCCCAAAGGACGCTCCAAGACGCCGAAGATGATCCCAAGACGGCCCAAGAAGCCGCCAAGACGCTCCAAGTGGCCTCCAAGAGGCCTCACAAGAGCGCCCCGAGAGGCCAAAATTATCAATTTCACTGTGGTTTTGGAAGGATTTTGGCCTTGTCGCATTTTCGGCTTTCCAATGCTCCAAGCAGCCCAAGAGGCCCCCAAGAGCGCACGAAGACGGCTCAAGAGATCCCCAAGAAGGCCCCCAGAGAGCCCAAACGGGCCCCGAGACGGCCCAAGAGACGCCCAACATGGCCCAAGAGAGCCCCAAGACGGCCCCAAGAGGGGCCCAAGATGGGAACCACGAACCGAAACCTCAAGCCTTCCGCCCCAAGAGGGCCCCACGAGGCCCCGAGAGGCCCCCAAGATGGCCAAAGATGCCGCCAAGAGGCCCCCAAGAGACCCCAGGAGGCTCCAAGGAGGCTCAAAAGAGGCCCTACAAGGCTTCAATTATCCTGGCAAAGCAACCTAACAGCCATATGTAGGAGCATATCTGGAAGCATTCCCCTTAAGATTCAGATGAGAATCCAGTTGTAGAATTCTGCTGTTCTCGCAGTCGTAGTCGCATTCGCGATGACAGTCGCAGTGGCAACGGCAGTCGCAGTCACAGCCTCAGCCTCAGCCTGCCTCAGCCTCAGCCTCAGCCTGCCTCAGCCTCAGCCTGCCTCAGCCTCAGCCTCAGCCTGCTTCAGCCTCAGCCTCAGTCTGCCTTCAGCCTCGGCCTCAGCCTCAGCCTGCCTCAGCCTCAGCCTGCATCAGCCTCAGCCTCAGCCTCAGCCTGCCTCAGCATCAGCCTGCCTCAGCCTCAGCCTCAGCCTGCCTCAGCCTCAGCCTCAGCCTGCTTCAGCCTCAGCCTCAGTCTGCCTTCAGCCTCGGCCTCAGCCTCAGCCTGCCTCAGCCTCAGCCTGCATCAGCCTCAGCCTCAGCCTCAGCCTGCCTCAGCATCAGCCTGCCTCAGCCTCAGCCTCAGCCTGCCTCAGCCTCAGCCTCAGCCTGCTTCAGCCTCAGCCTCAGTCTGCCTTCAGCCTCGGCCTCAGCCTCAGCCTGCCTCAGCCTCAGCCTGCATCAGCCTCAGCCTCAGCCTCAGCCTGCCTCAGCATCAGCCTGCCTCAGCCTCAGCCTCAGCCTGCCTCAGCCTCAGCCTCAGCCTGCTTCAGCCTCAGCCTCAGTCTGCCTTCAGCCTCGGCCTCAGCCTCAGCCTGCCTCAGCCTCAGCCTGCATCAGCCTCAGCCTCAGCCTCAGCCTGCCTCAGCATCAGCCTGCCTCAGCCTCAGCCTCAGCCTGCCTCAGCCAGCCTCAGCCTGCTTCAGCCTCAGCCTCAGTCTGCCTTCAGCCTCGGCCTCAGCCTCAGCCTGCCTCAGCCTCAGCCTGCATCAGCCTCAGCCTCAGCCTCAGCCTGCCTCAGCTCAGCCTCAGCCTCAGCCTCAGCCTCAGCAGCCTCTCAGCCTGCCTCAGCCTCAGCCTCAGCCTCAGCCTCAGCCTGCCTCAGCCTCAGCCTGCCTCAGCCTCAGCCTCAGCCTCAGCCTCAGCCTCAGCCTGCTTCAGCCTCAGCCTCAGTCTGCCTTCAGCCTCGGCCTCAGCCTCAGCCTGCCTCAGCCTCAGCCTGCATCAGCCTCCTCAGCCTCAGCCTCCTCAGCCTGCCTCAGCCTCAGCCTCAGCCTGCCTCAGCCTCAGCCTCAGCCTCAGCCTCAGCCTCAGCCTGCCTCAGCCTCAGCCTCAGCCTCAGCCTCAGCCTCAGCCTCAGCCTCAGCCTCAGCCTCCTCAGCCTCAGCCTCAGCCTCAGCCTCAGCCTCAGCCTGCCTTCAGCCTCGGCCTCAGCCTCAGCCTGCCTCAGCCTCAGCCTGCATCAGCCTCAGCCTCAGCCTCAGCCTGCCTCAGCATCAGCCTGCCTCAGCCTCAGCCTCAGCCTGCCTCAGCCTCAGCCTCAGCATCAGCCTGCTTCAGCCTCAGCCTCAGGCTGCCGTTAGCCTCGGCCTCGGCCTGAGCCTGCCTCAGCCTCAGCCTCAGCCTCAGCCTCAGCCTCAGCCTGCCTCAGCCTCAGCCTCAGCCTGCCTCAGCCTGCCTCGCCTCAGCCTCAGCCTGCTTCAGCCTCAGCCTCAGCCTGCCTTCAGCCTTCAGCCTCAGCCTGCCTCAGCCTCAGCCTGCTTCAGCCTCAGCATCGGCCTGTCTCAGCATTCAAAATGTGGCCCGGGAATGGAGTTCTGGGAACTCGAAGAACACGAAGTGGCCTACAGCTGGCTCCGGGCATTCAAAATCATGCCCAGGAATGGAGTTATGGGAACTCGAAGACCACGAAGTGGCCTACAGTTGGCTCCAGGCATTCAAAATCATGCCCAGGAATGGAATTCTGGGAACTCGAAGACCACGAAGTGGCCTACAGTTGGCTCCGGGCATTCAAAATCATGCCCAGGAATGGAGTTATGGGAACTCGAAGAACACGAAGTGGCATACAGTTGGCTCCGGGCATTCAAAATCATGCCCAGGAATGGAGTGGTGGGAACTCGAAGACCACGAAACGGCCTACTGTTGGCTAAAAAAGGAGTCCCCGGATTCCCGCGGCACGCGTCCGGCATCCGTCCGGCATCTGCCCAGACCCCCTTGGGGAGTCATGATGCTCTCTTTTGACCCTACTAGAAACCTATCAGTCTTCGCTGTTAGGTAAAAATGTCTCCCAAGCGCCCCCGAACGGCCTCAACAGACCCCAGGGCCTCCCAAAGAAGCATCTGGACGACGGCCCTGTTTGGCCCCAAGAGCGCCGCAAGATGCCATCGAGAGGCTTCCTCCTCCGCCCTTTTCTCTTATTCCTCCTCCTCATATTTATCTTCCTCCTCCTCCGTTCCTTCTCATCCTCTTCTCCTCCTCCCCTCCCCCTCCCCATCCTCATCTTCCTCCTTCCGGCGGCGCCGAAATGGCCCCGAGCCCGCGCCGAAGCAGTAGCGATCATGCAATACAAGCGATTGAATAAATCTTGACGGTGCCGTCCGAAGACGTCGCGGCGAACGTGCCCCCGGAGGCGGCCGCGCCGCACACCTTCTCCCTGTGGACTCTGACGATCCGCCTCAGCTTGAACGGGCCAGAGCCATCTCTCCTCTGGACGGCCGCCGGGCCCGCGCTGCTGCCCCTTTGGGCCTCGCCCTTCGCCTCCGCCCTCTTCACGTCCATCGCGCCAGAAACCACATCCCAGAATGACCCAGTCATCCCGCGAGCCGCTGGCCGTCTACCGGCCTCCCTTGAGCCAGAGCGGGTACGGAGCACATTGCAGAGGAAACGGAAAAGAACCTTCACCGCTTCTTCTGCGTGCTCTTCCTCGTCGCCCTCATCCTTCTCCCGCGCCTTGTCCTTGTGATCGAGGGTCGAAAGCTCCTACGCCCCCCCCACTGGGTGGGATGGATCTCAGGATCTCCACGCAGAGATGGGATGGTAGGGATGCGGAGGCTGGCCTGGAGCCCGCGGGAACGCCTTGCAATGCAGAGGGCCTCGGATTCCAGAAATGGCCTGAAGGCCATCATCGTCGTCATCGTCGTCCTCGTCGTCGTGAAGAAGGAGGCTGGAGAACAACGGGGAGCATGATGAGAAGCAAGCGAGGATGAGGATGCAAATGAGGATGAAGAGAAGGTATAAGGAAGAGGAAGGTGAGGAGAAGCAGGCAAGGGTGGGGATCATCATGACAGTGAGGCTGAAACGAAAAGATGACGATGAGGACGGGCAGGCGATGACGAGGCTGAAGACAAGGAAAAGGAGGATCAGGAGCAGCAGACAAGGACGAGAATGGCAGTGAGGATTGGGCTGAAGAAGAAGAGAACAAGGAGGATGAGCCGCCCAAGGCAAGGACGAAGATGAGGCCCCTCCCCGCATCACACCCAGTGGAGAGGGGGGGGAGATAGAATTCAGGTTAGATCAGAGGTAGTATCTATTATTATCAATAGGGTGTGTAGCTAGTCAGACAGGCAGGCAGAGAGTGGCACCCGTATTCGCATCGGGGCTCAAGGAGACACATCTCTTACCTCTGCTCTGGTAGCGGAGCCGCCTCTCGGGGCGGCGCGCGCGGCCCGGCCAGGCCCCGCCCGGCGATAGACATCGCGACGCTGAAACCTCACGGAAGTGAGCAGCACCAACAGCTTGGTGCCACTGAACTTCGAGTTCGACATCCACCTCCCCAACAGCGACGCCATCGCAGAGGGGCCCGATCGCTTTTCGGACGCGGCCTGGCGCACAACATACCCGGTAAAGTATACGGACATCTACGATCATCTCGGTGACGGGATCAAGAACATACCCAGTGAATCATAGGGACATCCATGTCCAACTCAGTGACGAGATTAACATCATACCTGGTTAAGTATAGGGACATCACCTCATATCTCAGCGGCGGGATCAACATCATACCTGGTTAGGCGTACGTACATCCACTCACATCTCAGTGGCGAGATCAACACCATATCTGGCTAAGTGTACGGACGTTCGCTTGCATCGTGAATATCAGTGACGAGTCCAACGTTCATCAAAATGGCTAGAAAATTCATTGGTGGACAATTACCGCTGGAGGAGAACACGCGTCAGACACCTCCCAGCTGGAAGCCGGGTGTCGCAAAGTACAGTAGCGAAGGGGTACCTTCAAAAGCTAAGCCTCCGGTGGAGGACCAAGAGTGTTGAGGATGAAAGTGTGGCAGCGTTATTTGTCCTTCAAAGCTTTCAGGGCGGAACCGTTAAACAGGCGATGCGATTCAAGGTCATGCGTGGTGGGATTGAATATGTTGGAGAAAATGCTTTCGCCGTGACCAGAACAGCCGAAGATACAACTCTAGGTGTTCAAGCTCAGCCTTCTGGAACATAGCTGTTTACAAGATGGTCGACGGAAGAATATGGTCTTCATGATCAGGACACCGTCGGTTTGTCACTGGGTACATTCGTCAGATATAAGCGGGGACCCCGCGATCTTCTGCAATACATATCGGATTTTGAACTTGTATATGATGAATCCCATGATCAGGCAGGGCTCAGTATCAACGCAGTTGGCAGAAGCTCTTTGTTCTTACAAAGATGTGATCCACCCTCTAAACGAATCGACGACATCAAGCTCAATATCGACGGCGACCTGAATCGATATGGAGAGATCAAAGCCATCCTTTCCAACTTGCACAACGCAACGGACTGCCCGGCTGGCATGGACAAGGACAACGATCAAGGTCAGAATGGCCCGCATGATAAGACCAAGGACAAAAGCAAAGGTAAAGGAAAGGAGCTTTTTGCCTGGACATTAATAGCCCCTGCAATATGCTCTGATGATGTATCATGCTCAGGGGGCCCCGCTGAAACCATGGCGAGAAAGGAGTGTTCCGTTAAGCTGGCAATGCAATAACTCTGAAGGGGGGAGGCCGGCCCGCTGGCCGACGCGCGCGGCCGCAGGCTCGCTCCTTTCCTGTTTACCTAGAGCCAATACAGCTGCAACAATCAAGCATGTTCGTACAAAGTGAAGAGAGCAAGGGCAGCGCATTGACTCCCCCCGCGGCGGGGTGTGTAGAGTCGCCCCGACCCCCCACCCACCCGGCCTGTACATATGTACAGCCACAGGAGCCAACCACAGAAGCATTTGACGGCTCAACTGCGGCTGCCGAAAGGCAAGAGACCGAAACAACCCGACGAACCCCAGAGCTAATATCTAAAACCAGCTCATACCACAAAGTTCTTCTGGTGCACCCACATCACGTTGATGAAACCAGGCGACGTGGGACCAATGCCGACAGAGTCGCACTGGTCCTTCTGCACATAATCATATGCGCCAATCTTCTCCCCAGCGCTGAGAATTGATCCAATCATCGCCGGTCCGCCAGCCCCATTGATACTGATCTCGCTGGCGATCGTCATAAGCAAATCTTTATTTGCCAATGTTCCAGCTGCTAGACTTGTCTTTGCTCTTGCCCTTGTCGCCCGGCCTCGCCTTCGGCGTAGATGGCGGCGGTGGTGCGGGCAAGGATGCGGAAGCACTTCGCAGTGCATCACGGGCACGATCGTCAGAGACTGGGTTTCCAGCGGGGATGTCTTCAGATCTCGTCCAAGCTCTCCCACTGGAGGTCCATTCTTCTCCCCGCGATTCTTCTTCACGATCGGTGACGAACGTTGCATCGTACTCGTTCACGCTGAACCAATACCATGTTCTGTGACTGTGTGATTCTCTGATGGCGATCCACGTGAACATGATATCTCTGGATGTTGCCGTTGTCGCCCCTGTCGGGGTGATCCAGCAACGGGTCCCAGCCGCCATCGCGCGCGCGGCCGCCTACATCATCAATGGGCTCATCGGCCCACGCGCGCGACCGATCCCGATCGTGCCACTCGGTAGGAGCCGCACGCAACCTCCGATCACGTTCGGGGTCGCTGCCCGACGCGGCTGAGCCGGCGGGCACTGGGTTGTAAGGGGCAGGCCTAGAGGCATGCCTCTCAGTCCAGCCAGCCCTAGTCCTTTCAGTGACATCCATCGGACGCCTCGAGGGCGTTCGAGCAATCCGTGAGCTTCTCCACCCCGAAGTGGCAGAGCCACCCAGGGCATTGGTATCAACTCGCGAAGTCACAAGACCCGTACAAGGCTGAGCAGTAACACCCGATGCGGCTGGGTCGACAGGGGTTGCCGGAGGAGGATCGGCTGTGCCGATATCCTTCGCGAGGTTTTTCACATATTAATGAGATCAGTGGCATTGTCTGCGACAAAATATCCATGGCAATTAATGGTCAACCGAGTTCTGGAAGGGGGAACAATCTGATCAGAAGTTTGCACGAATTCTATGGCAAGCTGTATCTGCGTATAGCATCGTCTGACAGAGCCCCGAACTTCATTGCCCAAACCTTCGGTACACGTTTGAAACAAATCAAACGATGTAGTCGTTGACCTGATCCGGCTGTCCAACGCATATGCGTCGGTCAGCATGGGATCGAGGGCAATGCCTGTATCAGTCGAATTTATCTGTATTTCATTTCCAGGAGAAGCAATATGAACTCCCTCTGCCATGAACAAGAATACAACTTCGCGGACAGCCAAAGATACTCGTCCCCATCGCCTACGAACGGGGATTCTGTTAAAGGGTTCATCTCATATTTTGTCCACGAGCTCTACCAATCCTGGCGGCACCTCGTGAACAACATCCTTCTCCAGTGGCATCACGGACGTTGATGTGGTTAAGCACTCGAGAATAATTTGTACCGCGACATTGATGGCAGGGCATCGCTTCGAGAGGTGAGTTCATACGTCGTCGCTTCATCTCGCCTCACGTCGGACACACACCCGGAGATGGGAACTCGATCAAGCCAAAAGGGCAATACCAGTCCTGAGGCGTCCATCCTATGACGATTTGGCATGGTGCCGTCGGCCTGAATGCCTCTTGACGTTTCTGCAAACTTTTCACAAGCCAATACCACTCCGGCCGGCCGGATGGGCCGGGGACAAAGCGAAGCAATTGCGTGATAACCAACGTCTCCTATGATATTCGAGGTGGGCGTAGCAATGTGTCTTAATCGCTCCGTCAGCGTCTCTATTGTAGGAATGTCTGAACCGACTTCTGTCTTGCTTCTTGCTCACTGGTCCCAACCTTCTAGTGGTTCCAGTTGTTTTGCGTCAGCATGGTTCCAATCGAAAACGGCAAGACCAGGACATCGAAATGGACGAGCGTACTGGTCCACATCCGAGGACCATATCAGCGGCCACCATTGCGCCGCAGTAGGAGGGTCTTCACTATGTGATTTTGCCTTATGCTTCAACACATTCCTGAAACGAAGCTTCAACGGCTCAAGGTATTGAAAATAGGGTTCATGACGCGCTGGCGGCTGGGCCGCAGCGCTATCAAGTAGCCAGGTCGGGACACAAGCCTCGAGGGGGGGAAACACCCCCCCCCGAGGAAAAACAAACAAAAAAACCGCGAGGCCCCCGGGAGGGGAAACAAAAAACCTCGAGGGGGGACAAAAAACACCTCCGAGGGAAAACAATAAAAGCCTCGGGCCCCCCGGCCCCCCCCCCGTCCCCCCCTCCTCCTCCTCCTCCCTTCCCCCCCCCGGGGAAGAAAAAAAACATCGAGGGGGGGAAAAAAGCCTCCGAGGGAAAAATAAAAGCCTCGAGGCCCCCACCCCCTCCCGCTCCCCCCTCCCCAGGGGGAAAAAAACAACATACCCCCCCGAAGCCCTGCTGGGGGGGAAAGAAAAAAAAACCTCGGGGGGGAAAGAGCCAAGCCCAGACCTGCTCAGCGGCACGCAGAGCAGCCTCTCGTGGTGGCAGTCGTCCCCATGGTACTTGACGAGCAGCCTGTCGCCCTCAGAGAGCCCCTCCAATGCGGCCCGCGCCAGAATTGCGACGGCGCTCCTGCGCAGCACGGCGCTCCGCGCTGAGCGTGCCCGCCGTCCCTTCGCCGGTGCTGTGCTCCACAGCCAGCACTCCCTCCCGCTCCGACGCTGCGCCCGAGGCTGGGTGCCCCCACGCGCCGCGACAGACGCAGTCGACCAGCAGCCCGACGGCGATCCCCGTCACGAAGTTGCCCAGCACTGGAATCCAGGAGCGGCCCGCAGCGGAGGGACAGTCCACGGGCTCCACGGGCACCCCCGCCGAGCAGGTCAGCGAATCGCAGGCCACGTCAGGGCGGTGGATCGAGGGGCACGGAAGGCAAGATTGCAGGGCTGCCTTAAAATGGAGTGTGAGATGGGACAGCTCACGGAGGATGCCTCCGATCTGGACCAGATCCATCAAGAGACTGGAGCACAGGAGGCATCGGAACGGATGCAGCTCAACCGAACGATGGCGGAGACCCTCACGCATTACTCAGGATGCCCGTTCAAAGAACTACTATCCCGCTATCGATCTCACTCAACGGGGCACCATAGGACACCACCACGGGACACCACGGGACACCTCGGGACACCACATCGATCTCACTATCGATCTCACTATCGATCTCTGTCAACGGGGCACCACGGGACACCACGGGACACCTGTCGATCTCACTATCAATCTCACTATCGATCTCACTTTTTAGGACACCACAGGACACCACGGGACACCTCGGGGCATCACATCGATCTCAGTATCGATCTCAATATCGATATCACTATCGATCTCACAATCGATCTCACTCAACGGGATACCACGGGACACCACGGGACACCACGGGACACCGCGGGACACCGCTAGGGCCACCGCCGGACGGACGGGCGGGCGGGGGATAATAATTTGTCTTGACTTCGCCCTAACAACGGCGGACACCACGGGACACCCCAGGACACTGCGGGACACCGCTAGGGCCACCGCCGGACGGACGGACGGACGGGGGATAATCATTTGTCTTGACTTCGCCCTAGCAACGGCGGACACCACGGGACACCACGAGACACCGCGGGACACAGCTAGGGCCACCGCCGGACGGACGGACGGCAGGGGGATAATCATTTGTCTTGACTTCGCCCTAGCAGCGGCGGACACCACGGGACACCACGGGACACCATGGGACACCGCGGGACACCTCTGGGGCCACCACCGGACGGACGGACGGACGGACGGACGGACGGGGGAAAATCATTTGTCTTGACTTCGCCCTAGCAGCGGCGGGCTCATTCCTCTCGCGCGCCAACGCAGCTTAGCCTCGCCCGCACGCACGACACGAACGAAACGAAACGATTTCCCGCTTGGGGGGTTCCATTCCAGTGCGACCTCACCCCCAACCTCCAACCAAAGAAGAGAGAGAGAGAGAGAGAGAGAGAGAGAGAAAAAAAAAAAAAGAGAGAGAGCGAGAGAGAGCGAGAGGAATCAACGAGGCGATGAGGACGACGAGGGCCTCTGTCCTTCATCCATTGTTGGTCCTCCTTATCCTCTGTACCCCCTCGCCCTCGTTCCCGTCATCATCATCATCATCATCATCATCATCCTCATCATCATCATCATCACCACCAGCATCATCATCACATCATCGACAGCGCCATCGACATCAACATCATGATCATCTTCATCATCATCTTCATCATCATCGCGATCACCAACATCCACAGTGCCATCGTCACTCTCATTATCATCATCACCACCACCATCGTCGCCATCATCACCTTAAGCATGAAGGCCATCATCGTCATCATCATCATCATCATCATCATCACAATCATCATAACCATCATCATCCCTCTCACGTCGCGTCAGAATTTCGAGCGCGAGGGCTTCTGCAATTTCGAGCCCGAGGGTGTCTGCAATTTCGAGCTCGAGTCTGCAATTTCGAGCGCGGCGCGACTGCATTTCGAGCTCGAGTCTGCAATTTCGAGCGCGGCGCGACTGCGATTTCGAGACCGACTTTTTGGGAACTCGTGGCGGGGGCGCTAGTGCAAGATGCATCTTCGCTTTGGGGCCCAGGCTGGAAATCGCAATGCATTGAGCGGCCCCGGGGAACGCAGAGGGCCGTTCCCCAACAAATAGTAGAAACATATCCAATAAATAATTCCAACGCCCCCAACAATTAATCACGACATATTCGGAAAAATATTGAAAATACAACATGATACTGAAACCCTAAACTAGCCGAACACATACCCGACGCGACCGTCGGCTGCCAGCGGCGAGACCCTGAGCGGGGACGTGGGCCGGCAGGCCGCGATGGATCAACTAACTGGGAGCAATACGAAGGACAGAACGGTCATGGAAGGGGAAATGGAAGCAGCACGTGGACGAGGAGAAGAGTAGGGCGGCACGAGGAGAAGAGAGGCGTGGTGGGGCGGGCAGCACGCGAGCCCCCTCTCCTCCTCCTCCTCCTCCTCCTCCTCCTCCTCCTCCTCCTCCTCCTTCTCCTCCTCCTCCTCCTCCTCCTCCTCCTCATCCGCCTCCTCCTCCTGCTAGTGCCAAAGAGGAAGTCTCTGCGCCACACTCTAGGCATCCTCCTCTTCCTCCTCCTCCTCCTCCTCTTCTCCAGTCTCGCCATCGGCGCGCCGGCGTGCGCTGGCGGTCCAGTCGCACTACCCCCATCCACCATCGCCGCCGTGGCCCTTATCCTATCGCCCTCTACTGCTGAGCCGACTGGTGCGGCTGCCGCGACTGGTGCGGCTGCTGCTGCGACTGGTGCGGCTGCTGCTGCTGCTGCGACTGGTGCGGCTGCTGCTGCTGCTGTTGCGGCCATCTGCTGCGGCCGCTGCTGCTGCTGCTGCGGCTGCTGTTGCTGCGGCTGCTGCTGCGGCTGCTGCTGCTGCGGCTGCTGCAGCTGCTACAACGGCCTGCTGAGGCTGGCGCGAGGACGGGGGGGGGGGGGCAGCAAGGCTGAGGCCGACCCACATGGCCACGCAGCCGTCGCCCGCCCCCTCCCCCGCCGGCGGTGCCTCACGCAGCCGCGCCGAACGCGTCGGAGGGGACCTCACCGTCGCCCACCTCTAGGATCTGGCCGCCGCCCGCGAGGGCTGCGGAGACGCAGGTGGGCACGTGCGCCCACGCGCCCTTCTGCTCGAGCTCGGCCTTGAGCTTGTCAGCCGCAATCTGCGGGCGGGGACGGATGGGGAGATGATCCTCCTCCTCAGCTGCCGCCCCCAAACTCATCCTCCTCATCCTCCTCCGCAGCATCATCATCATCATCATCATCATCAGCATCATCATCAGGATCAGGATCAGCATCACCATCGTCATCAGCATCATCATCAGCATCGCCATCATCATCATCATAATCAGCAGCATCAGGATCATCATCATAATCATCATCATCATGCGTCTCCTGCTCACCGAGTTCTCCTGCGGTTTCTCCGACCCCTCTCCACGCACCTACCCCGCTACTCATGATTATCCTCATCCTCGTATCCTACTTCGCAACTCCCCCCCCCCCCTGTCCGCGCAGCCTGTCCACGCCGAAACGCCTCATTCATCCTCTGCCCTCGCTTCCACCTATGAGGTTACACTCCTGGATCCTCCCCCGAGCCGCGACTCCCGCGTCTGACTCTCGCCCTCCTCCTTATCAACCCTGGGAACCTTGAGCTTTTTGGGGCCCTTGAGCTGGGGGAAGGCGTACTTCATGGAGAAGATTGTGAAGGTGAGGGATATGGTGACCATCCCCTCGAGCACGCGGGCCTCCCACTTGGACAGGTCGGTTGACTCGAAGATGGTCGGGGCGCGCCGGCAGAGCTTGAGGCGCGCGTCCATGTCAGCGCACAGCTGGCCCAACTGTTTGAGCATTTTGTTTCCGACCAACTCCTTCGTCATTGGGTGCGGAGGACTGGCCGGCAGCACATCCTTCACGGGGCGCCAGTTCGGCTGCCAGTCCCCGATGCTGGTGCACGCGGCCTCGAAGCCTGCGATCCACCGAGACCGGGTCTCCACCAACGACTTCTCGATGGCGACTAGCGAATCGCGGATGGCCCTGGGGATCGGGAAGCCGTCGAACAGACCCGAGGCCGACCTGCCCTTCGCATCGAAGCAGGTCTCGAGGTTCTGCACAAACATCGGGCCCCTGAAGTCCTGAGCGACTGCGGGCGACCGAGGGAAGGACGGCGGAGACGACCCCCGCTGGGAATTCCTGAGAGAGGACCCCAAAAGACTTCCAAGCGGGCCCCATGAGGGCGCCAAGAGATCCCCAACAGGACCCCTAGCGAGCTCAAGATGCGCCCAAGAGACCTCCGAGAAGCTCTCACCGACAACACATCACCTGGCATGCGCTTCGTTGCTGGATAGGCTGGCGGGAGTACGAGAAGCCCCACTCCTCAAATAGTTTGCCTAAGTGACTTGGACCCTTTACACGGATAACGCGCAAGACAGGAGGTGGAGGAGGAGGAGGAGAACTCCGTCGTCTTCTCCTCCACCTCCCCCCCCCCCCCTCCGCCTCCACGTCCACTGCGTCCACCATCGCCGCCTCATCCTCCTCGTCGTCTCCCATCTTTCCCCGTCGCCCTGGTACGCCTGCTCCCCAATGCATTCCGTCCTCCTCATGGTCCGACTGGTTTAACGCCCCAGTCCCAGTCGGCAAAGGTCATGCCGCTGGCTGCTTCGTGCGAGCGGAGGATGGAGTCAACCGTCAGCACCAGCTTGTCCATCGCATCTCTGCCGTCGACCCACGCCTTGGCGGCGTCCGCGTCGAAGTCAAGCTTGCGCGTGATCAATGGGACACCACGATGCCACACCCTGCCTACGTTCATGATCGCCCCCACGTGCCAACGGAACACCTCGTCAGAGTACCTCGCGGCTTCAGTCGCGTCCTGGAAGGCCGCCTCGGCGCCCTGCGTGAGGGCCGCGCCGTAGCCCGAGCCGCAGATCAAGACCGCCCGCCCGATGATGTCATCTGGCGTGCAGAGGGAGTCGGCCCAGGCGGCCTGCCGGAACAAATCATTCGGGAAGTCGCCAAAGATGGCCCCATTCGCTATGCGGACGAACATCTCGATGCGCTCAGTGAGGCGCTTGGCCAGCATGCCCGATATATCCGCGAACGCCTCGGAGGTCGCGAACTTCTCCAGCATGGCAGAGACCGATTCGGCCACGGCATGACCTTCCCAGAATTGCGTCAGGTTCTCTGCCAGAGCCTTACGGACATTCTCCATGTACTCGGGCACCCGTGCAATTAGCGCTCCAGTCTCGTTGCGCTCGTGGAACATCTTCACAACGCCCGGTGACGCATCGACCAGCTTAGCCGTCTCCGAGTACCCCCGAGTATCAAGCTCGCTCTGCGTATGCTTGGACAGCTTCGGTATATCGTCCACTGCCCCAATCAAGTCAGCCAAAAGCTTCGACCCACCAGCCCGCTCGGTGTTGTCCCAAATCGCCTCCTCAAGCGGGCGGCCCATCGCTGTGACAACCCTGTCCACGAGCTCCTCATGGAGAGGACTGGGCGCATGGCAAGAGGCGATATGACAACATGGGAACAACGGATTGGAAAGCTGGAGTAAGGCATGGGAGGGATGCAATGCGGATGTCACGGGGCATCGGGAGAGGGCGATCCTTAGACATGTCCAGGAGCAGGTCCCCAGCGATCCCACTGTACTCCACCAGCGCGTCCTCCACCTCGGGGGTGACGAAGTACCTCTTTGACAGCGGCGTCGACTCGGCCAGGACGTCCGATATGCCCTTAATGTGGCCCGTTGTGCTGACCATGCGGGTGCGCAAGTCCAGGGTCGTCGCGTCCTGCTGGGCATTGTCGAGCGCCTTCTGCAGGAGAGACCTGATCCGCTTCGACTGGTCATAGCCCTTGGAGAAGCTCGCCAAAGCGACCTGCGCATCGCGCAAGAGCTTCTTGGCTTCTGGCCACTGCACGACTGAGCCAGCCATCGGCAACGCATTATTCATGATGGCCTCCACGGCCTCGCCGGCAACCTCAAGCTCAGTAGCCAGCGGCATAGCATTCTCGTCGAGCAAGCCCAGCGCTACCTTCAAGGCGTTCATGTCGGCCTTCACCTTGTCATCCGCCCACGATGGTAGAGACGACGCCAGCCGTGCCAAATCCTGACAAATGAATTGCGCTTTGCTCTGCGCAATCATGCTAATCTTCATCTTGACCATGTCGATGCACATTGCCATCTGCGACGCTGGCGTTGGGTACCCTGCTTCCGCTAGTTTCTCAGGGCTCAAAAGACACCACATAGCCTCGTCGGGTGTCGCAGCCTTGCGGCATGACACTGTGGACGCCAATGATTGCAGGTTTCCACGCTAACTGACCACAGTCCCCATCCCTATCAGCGGCGACAATGGGTCGCCTGGAAGCGGGGCAGTGGTCAGCCAGGGGAAACTCGCATCCAGGAGAGCCAACTGATTCATGCATAGTCGGGTCTCGACCTGTTTAGCGATAAACTCCTGGAGCATCCAGGCTGGGAACGGCACCTCCGCTGTAGGAGGTGTAGACAAACAATCAAGGACATGCGGTAAGACCTGGCGAATTCTCTGTCGAACTCGGAGTTCTTCGCCCAGGCTTTCGCAATGGAGACCGCCTCCTGGCCCTGCTTCCTCAGCGCCTGGATGTCGTCGCTGTCCGCATAGAGCTCTGGTTCTGGCTGACCCTGCTCAGCTGCGCTTTTGCACTCCTCCTCCACTTGCTTAGCAGGCACGATCGTGTTGCTGAAATTGGCGACTGCGCCCTCAAGCTGCCTGCGAAAGTTGGCGATGGCGAAGTATTTCTCGTCCTGGGCGCTCTCGCGAAACTCCTTCAAGTGCGTGAGCAGCACCTGGCGCCTGTTCGCGCGCGGGCGGCCAGGTCCCCGGCGGCTGTTCGCACCCTCTGAGTCAGACTCGGTGGATGGACGGATGCGCCGAGGACCCGCCCCAGCCCTGCCTTTGGCCCTGGCGCCTTTCTTTGGCTCAGGCACACTGGGTGCTGATGGCGGCGCTGCTTGCGGCATGGCCACTGGGAAGTACGCGGCCTGAAACACGCCGCAGCTGCTGCCGGGCTGCATCCCACCCTGTGGCGTAGCGACAGCTGGCGGAGCCGGGGTGCCTGCTGGCTGCGGCGGCGCAGACGCCTTGGCAAAAATGCTAGGGGCTTCCTCACCAGATGGCCGTGCAAACAAGCTTGTCAGACTAGACACCAACCCATCAAATCCACGCTGGAGCTGACCATCGAAGATGGCGTCGTCCGAGTGCTGGTTCAGGCGGCGTTTGCTAACGCCTTGCGTCTCCACTTCTTGGACCAGCCACTCCAGCTTCCCAGGGGTGCGGACGCACTGGTGCCCTTTGTACATGCACACCTGGTGGCCCTTGCCGTTGCTGCACGGGTCGCCCAGCGACGCCTGATAATCGGCAAGTAGAAGTATCCTGTCTGGAGCTCGCTTCGTCTGCACCTCGTGCTTATTGTAGCTCTCGACCTTCTCTTGGATCTCGCGCCAGGCAACTCTGACCCCGCGGGTGGCCTTCGCATTCACGAAGAAGGCCACGGCCTCGTGTCGGCGAGTGAAGAACTCCTCGCACACTTCACGGTTGCTGCCAATGACTGGAACCAGCAGGGCGCACGTCTGCGTCGCTGGCTGATCTCCGTAGAATCCTGGCTGGGAGATTGCAGGCCCATCATGCGCCTCCTCTCCACCCCATCTACCCCCGTCGCATCCTCCTCCTTCCCCTCCTGGCACAGAGCACGAAGAGGGGGGGCGGAGAGAAGGAGAGAAAGAAGGAGGCGAGGGAGGAGACGGAGGAGGGGGAGGAGGGGGGGGGGAGGAGGAGGAGGAGGAGGAGGAGGAGGAGGAGGAGGAAGAGGAGGACATGAAGAATGCGGCGGAGGGGCTGGGGGGGGGACGGGGCGGAGGCGCTCGGCTAGCACGCAGAGGAGACAGAGGAGGACGGCCAGGAGAAAAGCAGGACACTGAGGAGAACTACGACGCAAGAGGAGGAGGACGTCGATGCTGGGGAGGCGGGGGGGCGGGGGACAAGCAGCAGCAGACGCGCCATGCCCAGAAGCCTGCGTGCGCCCGCACACAGTAGAAGCAGAACGAGCCGCGGTTCTTCTTGTTCATTGGCTTGAACCCCCAGTGCAAGCACTCACCATTGAAGACGCGGTCCTGCTCGGTGTCGCGGCGGCCGCATAATCCGCGCAGCCTGCCGTCCAGGATGACCTAGCACGCGCGGAGAGGCGGGGAGTTGGGCGGGGAGGTTGCGGGGAGTTGGGGTAGGACGATAGAGAGGAACATGTGACCTCAACTTGCACGCCTGCCTCAAACGTGCAAGAGATCACGATTTTGTCGACGTTCTCAGCGCCCCACAGCCCGTAACGGGCCCGAGACGGATCGCTGCGGCCGTAGAGAAGGTCGGGCGTCTCCGCTGGGTCAGGCCGGTTAGCGCCAGTGTCTGCCATGGGCCTGTGAGTCCGCGGGGCGACGGGCCAGGTGGTGCGGGGCCGCGGTGCTCGAGTGAGCGGCCTCCGCCGCAGGAAGCTCTCGAGCCTCCGAGCTGAACGCGCGACCCACAGGCGGCAGTGGTTCAGCGGCGTGCGGGCCCCGACGCAATGGGATAACTATAGGCGGCAATTGCATGATGAGCAGGAGGAGTGCGTTGCGCCGTTGCGAATGTCCTGCTTCCTTCTGCACCGCCCCACCCCTCTCCTCCAGGCTCGGACGAGGAAGCAAGCGTGTGACAGTACTAGCCGCAGGAGGGTGACGAGCGAGGTAGGCACAAGGGAAGGCTGGGGGCAGCGAGGGGCGGGGGGGGGAGGGAGGCACGGAGGGAGGTGCGGAGGGGGCGACGAGGAGACACATCCACACAGTGCGGAATTAGGTTTTACAGAGAATCAGCCGCGACCGACTCTCTGCCCTGGAAGCTTGCCTGCGCGCCTTCACAGGCGACCCTCTCCCTCGGCTCGCCCGCAGCTCGATGGATGAGCGGGGCAACGCCCAGATCATCAGTGAGAGGGTCGGGGCCGAATCAAATGCAAATTCGCCCGGCGCGGTAAGAACGCTGCCTGGAGGTGAGACCCCCGACGCAAGCCGCTGGAAACGGGAGCGTAGACTGTCCGGGCAATTCTCCTCCTCCGCCCCATCCCTCCCCCCATCTACTCCATCCCCTGAGAGTTGCGCGTGCGCTACCCAATCTGTCATCCGTAAACATCAACCTGAAATCCGAAATCCCCCTTAAAGATCCCACCTTCGTCTAATTGCCATCTACGCCGAGTCGCCAATGCACGGGTGGCGACCCCGCCCGACCCCCGAGAAAGCAGCCAATGCAACCGCGGCAAACGCAAATCCACTGTAAGCATTCCCCACGAGGAGGCGCGCCAATCCGTCCTCAGTGGGCCCGGCACCAAAGAAGCCGATGAGCCTGAGCAGGAGCTCGCCCGTGACCAGCCTGGCGCCGACAGCGGAGCAGGACGATTGGGGCGAAACACGCATCAAAGAAAGAAGCTGAGATGCCCGTGCCCTAGAGGGGATCGACCATGATCGGAGCGGTGAGAAAGGCAATCAAATACTACAGCGAAAGGACGTGGCAACGACCGACGACGGGAGCGGCGGGGCAGAAACAACGAGAAACGATGGGCAGTAAGAGAGAACGGGTATCGGCGGCGCCTCCAATGCCGCGTGCCGTCAGCCTTCATGATCCTCATCATGAGCACCGACTTGGTAGTGAGAGTCGGCATCGCTTCCTTGAACACGGCTCCGCGGCCATCGCTCCCGAGGGAGAAACGAAGAGACAAGTTGATATCTGCCCACTGGATAATCCCTGGAGCTGCTGGCCAGGGGTCGCACTCGTGGCCGTAGATTGCCACCTGTGCTGAGGGGGGGGGGGGGGCTGGGGGGCACCCTCCTCGCTCTCCTCTTCGGCTAGCGCATCCCCCCACCAGTTTGACCCCACCCTCTAGTGCAACTCCTGATCCTGAGCGAGCGCGTCCTCTGCCTCTTTCCCAGGTGCCTCCTCCGCCGTCCCCTGGCCGCCCCCGCTCCAGTGCTAATCCTGATCCTGCTGGAGCGCGTGATCTGTCTCCTCCCCGGGCGCCTTCTCCGCCGTCCCCCGTCGCCTCCAGGCTCCTAGCCCTGGCCCCCCTCACGATCAAGCGGACTCGCAAAATGGCGTCCAAGTAAAAAAGCGGCAACACTGGGCCCATCACAGGGCACATCACATTACGGGTGGGTGGGGGGGGGGGGGGGGGCGAGTCTTGCGACGTTTCGACGGGCGGCACCAAACCCGGCATGACGCGAGGACATGTACAATGCATTGAAGCTGCAGGGCGCGCCTCGATCTGCGCGTTGCACAGCGGGCTCACCACAGTCGCCAACTCTGGATCGTAGTTTGTGAGGTCAGGAGGGCAAGCGATGCCTGCATCCGTGAAGTACTCACCGTGCTGTTGCGAAAGACCTTTCAGTCTCTTGATCGCGGGGGGCTCGGAACCCTCAAAGAGGGGAACGCTCTCCCATTCGAAGAAAGAGTCGAGCGGCAGCTGTGGGACCTTGATCGCCGGAAGCACGGACGATACCACAGTAAGCCCCGCTCCAACCGAATCATCAAGCAAGGCCACCACCGCCATGCGGATGCGCGTGACGACGGAGCCGTACTCCTGCGCGTTCACACGCATCGCCTAAGCGTTGCGGCAGGGCAGGGGAGTGGAGGGGGGGGGGGGGGGCTGAGATGAAGTGGATGCGGAGACGGATGGCGGGGCCGATGCAACAACATGGGCACTGGCATAGGGCGGGGGGGGGGGCAGCCGGCGGAGGCAGGAAGTGTAAGCGAGGCAAACTGCAGGGCAGCACAATCCTTACCCGGGCTATCCTCAAGCGCCTGACCTCGTCGCCCCCCGCCGCCGCCGTCAGGCCCCGAACGGTAACGCACGCCAGTGCCGCCAGTGCCAATAAGCTAGTCCCGAGGCCGCGGCACGGGCTGAGTAGCCGTTCTCGCGCAGGAACTCGCAGATGGCGATGCTGTCGGGGCACGCCCCCGGCTCTGCCTCATTCATGAGCGCGGTGAGGTTCTCCAGAACGACGACGCGAGGCCGAGCTTTTTGAATGTAGTCCGCAGTCATGCGCCAAGCCTTGCCTGTTTCCCCCTCGCCACTCTGAATGGGTGACAGACGTTGTCCTCTCGTAGCCCCGTTCAATGCACTTTTGGTCGTGCACGTAAACCCAGCAGAAAAAAAAAAACATCCACTGGCGGCACCACAACACGAGTCCCAGATTTAAGGTCCAGGACCCTCGGCTTGGAGAGCCTTAGATGCGTCTCAGACAGAGTGTCTCAGAGATGATCGGTGCGTCCACGCATGGATCTACCGACTTTAATGCATGGCCTGAAGACACGGCAGATCATGGGGCGAACAAAGGCCTGATCGCGCGCACGGTCAACGCCAGACGAGAGAAGAGAAAGCGCCCGAGCCAATGACGGGGGAGGGTGGGGGCGCGCATGCAAGCGGGACGTCGCTCCGCAGCGCCATCTAACAAATGCGTTGCCGGAGGGGCACGGGGGGCGCGGAACCCAGCAACGCGGCTTAAGGCGCTGGCTCCGCCATGTCTCCAAACAAATACTTGACGCCAGGGAACTGCGAGCGAAGGAAGGCCTGCTGCAAGTTGCCCTTCTCGCATTGGAAGATGCACTCAAACGAAGCAGATTTTTGGTAGCGGCGTTCCCACTCCCGCGAAAAGGCCTCGAGGATTTTGGCGAAGACGTCGCTCCCGCTGAAGCCTCTAGCCGATCGAAGCCGGGGGCGGGCGGGGGGCTTCGTGGATATCCACGAGGCTTGGGCAAGACAAACTCTTCCCCCCCCGCCCGACCTCCACCCGCGCATCCCAAGGAACCCAATAGGAAGCCATTCCCCACTCCCACGCGTGCCGCCCCATCCCTGGCTGGGAAGCGTCAGATGCACTGAGGGGTGGTGGGGGTCGGGGGTGTGTGTGGGGGGGGGGGGGGGGGTGAGGGAGGGGGGCAGGACGGGGGGGGGGGCATGGGGGTGCGTCGGAAACAGCGGGAGGGGAGCGTGGGCTTATGAAGACAGACGACAGATGGTATGGAGAAGATGTATACACATAGCCTGTCCCAACCTTGAAGACACCCTCGGAGATACCGTCCAGGAGACAGGGCAAGTTCTGCGGTGGGATCTTGTCGTGCATGGCTTTGATGGCCAGTTGCAGCGGGTCGTCTTGGACCTGGGCGGCAAGGGAGGGGGCGGGCTGATAGCCTCCAGCGGTCTTTACAAGTGTCCAGAGGCCTCCAGTGGACACGCGGCAACCCAGGACCTGGCGACAGGCCCCCAAGGGCCACGCCGACAGAAGGGCAACGCTCCGACCTGGCGACAGGCCCCCAAGGGCCACGCCGACAGAAGGGCAACGCAGGACCTGGCGACAGCCCCCCAAGGGCCATGAGCACTGGCGGACCGACCGACATCGGTCCATGACGGCCTCAAGCGGCCGTGGCCGCGCCACAGCTGCAGAGTCCTCCCATGCGCAAACATGAGCCGCAAGCAAGACATTGCACATGCCAGCGTAACTTCGGAACACCTGCCACATGCTGCACACGGTGGCACGACAGTGCCCCCCCCCCCACCACCACCACCACCACTCTTCTCTGCGCTCCGCTTCCTCTGCACCATCTTTTTTTCACCGCCCCGCAGGGCAAAGAGGCGGTCACCACGTCGTGGGATTGGGCGCCCTGAAGGCGATTCGGCGCTGCACCTGGCCTGCGTAGACCTGAGGCTCCGGGGCGCGCAGGAAGCGGCGCGCAGAGAAGAGTGGTGGTGGTGGTGGGGGGGGGCACAGAGACGGATGGGACAGGGGCAGAGAGCGAGGGATAGAGAGCGAGAGACGCGTCGGACAGGCACAGAGACGGATCGTGCAGGGACAGAGAGAGAGAGAGAGGAACAAAAAAAACAGATGGAGACGGGGTGGAGAAGACATTGCAGGCGACCCAAGTCTGGCGTTGCCTGGCAGCGCGGATGCCACGCCTAAGCTAGCTCGTATTCACGCCAGGTGGTGAAACCTCCGTCGTGGAAGGGGGCTCACCAATTATCTGTTAAAGCGCTCAGAACTAAAGTCAGCTCAAGAACCCCCTGTGCCCGCGCTCTCCTCATCGGGCGGGTACCACTGCTGCGTATCTGTCACTGTGTTGTGGAAGTAGACCGCGTGGAAATCATCTGTGTAGTACGTCTGCCATCCATCCTGGCGGTGGAGGGGGCGCGGTCTCCGGTGCCGCTAGAGCGGCTAGACCTGCTGACAAGGACTGCCAGCGCGGCGTCGGCTGCTGGGCACTCCCCAGCAACAGACACCGCTCTACCAGCTGTCTGCGTTGGCCTGACCGCTCTCGCAAGAATCGGAGACTACGAGACCAGAAGGTCCAGCTTTTGCTTGAAGGTGAGGAATGCGTAGTGTGCCCACATGGCTCCGA